ACCAGAGAGAATCACACACTCAGGAACCCAGATGTAAACACGAACACACACGCAGTCCATTCAAACTCCCCGGGCTACGCATGCACTGATACAGTGTACTCCCGGAGTGGCTTCACTGCTGCACCTAGCGCCACACACACGCGAAAGATTGTCATGCCAGATTTGTTCGACATGAAGTGATGGGAAGGAAACACAACTGCAGGGAATGTGTGATAGAGATGAACATCCAGCGTGAAAAAAACATGAAAGGGGACCACAGAGCAGGGCTGTATGCCGGTCTCAACCTGAACCAGTTACTGCATACTGATGTACACATGTGTTAATGTATGCAGGATGAGTAAGTATCTGCCCGTAAGCTGCGTTTACCATCGTGTGTGTAAACTCTCCGCTGAGGTCCTATTAGGACGACAGCAAAATGTATTTTGGGAGCGTGACACATTGGAGTGAGTCTTTTTCTGACTGGTGGCATGGAAACTTTCAGACAGACATCACAGAACTGAGTTTAAAGCAAATCAAACAACGATTTGTCTCGGCTCCCGCTTGGATGTAAACAGTGCTCTCCTTGGAGCAATTATAAATCTTCATTTTATAAATTACAGAGTGTGAATGACAGTTTTCGTAAGCATTTAGCCAATAAACACACAGATGAGAGGAATGTAAAATGTATTACTCACACAGAAATATAAATTTATATTCTCTCTCCCATCAGGGACCCACCCAGAGTCTTTCAGATTCAACAAACAGTGTAGTGAGTAACATGCTTAGGGTAAAGGGACTGTCATGGGTCCTTGTTAAAGTACTGAATTGCAGAGTATGAACAAGCTCCACAGGGAGGGTCTTTGATCAAACTTACATCTCTCTTATGTCTGATTTATTTTAATCTAGGGAAAGAAATCCTAATTATTATACCTTTTATCTATCTTTTCATTAGTCTCCTATAGAAATCCCTTCTCTCCATTCTACTTCCACCTCCCTCTACATACTCCATTCTTCTCATTTTCACATTGAGCCTCTACCTCTCTCCATCTCCCGCTCGCAGCTGTTGATGAGTTTGTCAGTGACTGAGGAGAGAGGGGGGTTTGAGCGAAAACCCAGCACTCTGGACTGCCGGTGGAAGCCGATAATCCAGAGAAGCGAGAGGTGGCGGCGAAAATCAGCTAATACAACAATCGCTATCTGTGCAACTCCCGCTAAGGTGACAAAGCCCTACACAAATTTGGTTGTTGCCATTTGCAAACAACAAGCTCATATCTGGATAAAAATGACTGCAGCACATTGTGAGATGAAATGCTGTGATTTTACAAAAGAGGCACTTGTCTAATACTGTGATCCTGATGCTGTATTGTCAACACATGATGGATGATGATGAGCTGTATGACAGCTGCTGCATCAGACAACTCCAACACACACACTCTTTTAACACCAGGAAGATTTCGGAATTATAGAAGTGGACAGTAATGACTGAAATATTGCTGATGGCTTTTAGGGACAAAACTGATGCAGATTAAGTTGAGTTTACAATGTCTGCTGTGTATGAAAAGACTTAAAATTCCCAAATTCATCATCATTGAGGAAACACTGACCTTTTTAAGAAGCACACCCACCCCATTGTTGCAACGAAGTGTTTCCATTTAGAGGTCATGTTTGAGAGAGAGTGAGAGAGCCGAAGGCAGCCGCCAAAGAAAGCAGCCTTCAAGTGAAATTATCATTTGCTGGCTTGAACGATTACCTTCAGTACCAGCCCTCTCTTGGCATCTGTCAGGTGGTTACAAACGCGGTTATGACTTAAAAAGATGAACAGCAAAGTTAAATTAGGTGAAATGAAAATTATCCAAATGATAAATTCACCACTAAATTACATTGTTCAGCTTTGCATGATTCATTGAAAACTGTGCAATGCAAGATGGTGAATGTTTCCCTATGCCAGAAACTACATGTACTTAATGAAACACAGTGGAAAACTGTGTGTGTGTGTGTGTGTGTGTGTGTGTGTGTGTGTGTGTGTCTGCAGGTGGCGTGTGGAGGCTTAATGAAAGAGCCCGTTGTTTTTTTTGGGTCTGATTTTCAAAGAGCAGATGGAACGGTCGCTCAGTCTCTCTGGTCTCAATCTTGTCCCACATTGCTGCTGTCGCCCCATTGAACAGCCAATTTCCTGCCGGTTCATCACAAACATACATAAAAACACAAACAAAAGGAGGAAGCTGCGAAAACAGTGTGTGGTAGAAGACCACAGAGACACTGCATAAGGGAGAGAAGAGGGTGATGCAGTGGGTCACACACACGCTGTAGATGATAGGGATACTGGAGATGTTTTGTGCGCAGACAAGCAGAAAAGTGTTTAAATACATAAATGGATACACACAAATGCATGCAGAGTGACACACACACACACACACACACACACACACAAGTAAGCTCCTCAGGGGAAGCACAGTTGGACACTTCACCGTTTTAATGAGCTTGCTCCAGATGTCTTCCCAGGCTGCATCGCATGAGTAGTTGATTAATCAAGTACATTTGAGTAAGAAACACTGGCACATACACACTAATCCTAATTTATCAGACAAACAGTAATCTCAATTTATCACAAACACAGTAATCCCAAATGACCCCCTCCTCGGTTCCATTATCTCACACACACACACACACACACACACACTGCACCTGATTTTAAATGTTTCTTCATCCCTGCATTCAGTTACATCTGTTATTTTCTGTTTCCATTTTCACTGGCTCATCTTTCACTGTGACTGATTACAACACATGCTCGCATACACCAACACCTGACTGAGTCACACTTCAGCTCCATTCTGTTTTTTGTTACTTGCACTCACATGCAAGCAAACTGATGCATGACATGCCTCGACCACAAAAAGCATTCACGCGGGTTACAAACAGAACCCGAGATTTCTAGTTTTAACTCAGTAGAAGTGGTCGGCCTCCATGAAACGACTCTGGCTTTCTATCTTCGCACCTTGTACAGCAGGAGATTACAACAGCACCTCCCCCCCCCCGTCTTGCCAGTGACAGTCAACTGTCCCTCTAGGTTATGTGATATTACAGACTGGCAATGTGTTAATAATGTTTCACTGGTGAGATATGGCTTTGCCAGACACAGGCTTCAATGTCCACGCCACACGAGCACAACAACCACTGTGCAGTAGGCAGTTATATAGAAAGATCCATGGTTTTTAGGGTTGTGCTTATATGACATTTGTGTTTGCGGACAAATGGTTTCACACTCTTATTAAGGGCGTGGAATTTTGTTTGACATACCTACATCTTGTCCTTATCACCTACGTAGGCTGCTTCTACCCAATATTTACATAGATTAATTTGTAAACAGGGGTCCTTGTTATCAGTGCAGTGGGAAGCAGTCTGTTGAAATTGAGAGAATTAATGAACCAGGTCATTTCATTGATTTGGTTGCCACTGTTAAATCATTACGAGCATCACACACTTCCGGTGCAGTGTTCAACACTAGTTCTAAAGAGGCAAATGAACTTCCTCATTGTTCAAAATGAACATTGTTGCAGGCTGTAAGCAATCTGAATGCCTATTAAGCTTCTTTCTCTTCTATTGTATGTTTTCCTGCAAGTGGTGGAAAGTCCAAACTTTCCAAAAAGTGTTTTCACGCTGTGAACAAACCAAACCATTGTTTAGTTTAATGTTGACCGAGACTACCTCCTTTTAGTCAGACTAAATATTGGTCCACTGGTCTGGAGCAAGGTCCTAAAGGCACCTTTCACATCTGTTATTTTGGTTCATACTGAGCTAATAAGTCAGAAGGTCCAGAACAAACAAGGAGGATGTGAAAGTACCTTTAGAGTGTGGGTGATGTTTCGCTTCCAGGTCATTTCTAATGCATTTTGCGCTGCTCTCAGTTTCTTTAACTAAGCAAGCTCAGACATCTGACCATAGCTGTCCTCAAAAAATCTCACCCTGCTTTTACACACTGCATGTTCCCATAGTTACACTTGTAACGTGTTGAGTTTAAAGTTTGTCCTTGCTCATATCACATTCTTTCTTATACTGGTTATTACAGCCTTATTAGATCAGGCACAACCAGAGGCAAATGTTAGTTTTCTGTTATCAGCTCAGGCACTCAGGAAATGCTGGGAAATCCAAATCAAATCCAATCATACCATAATTTCCACTTGTGGCTAGAGCAAAGGCTTTATAGTCTCGCTTTAATGGACTTCCATGTGACGCCAAGTCTCAAAGAAAATCCTGAGTGAGGGGATCTGTAAAATACATTTTAGACTGGACTGCTTATCGCTCGTCTGAAGTCATCAAAGAGGGAGCGAGGTAAGAGTGGAGTGAGTTTTGACCATTAAGAAGAATAATCCTGTTGTGAATTATGCATAGTTTCTAGTGTTTTGTCTTGGTGTAAAGCACTGTCAGCTGAGAGAAGAACTGCTCACCAAACATATACAGTATATTCACATGCTTTTTCAAATATTTCAGTCCCACACACAGCCCCACTTTGTGTTAGAGAGGGAACAGGGCTGCCGTCAGTGCAGTGCAGTGCAGAATCCTTGGGGAAATGAGGGTGAAACCCAGATATAATATTAGCTGCCCACTCTGTCGTCACTGCTGGGTATTGGACCGGTGATTTCTAAGCTTCTGGCTGGCCTCTCTAGTTTATGTCCCACTTGCCATACACAGTAAATCTTTTTTTATAAGCATGTTGATTTATCTCTCACCACTCCGGAAAAAAACAGCTTTTCTGCTGATATTATGAATGCAAAGTTTAACAAATTCACTGGTTGTCCAAAGGAAATTAAGTTTACTTCATTAAATTACTTTCTTCATCTTGATATTCCAGAATATTTCATTAGTGGTGTCCAGTGACAGGGGCTTTGACCAGTTGGCACGTGGCAGTGAACCACCAGCAACACCACTCAGATTTATGGCCCCTCAGTATGCAGTGACGTCACAACATTTCAGCTCATTCATAAAGAGGAAAACTGGCACAGACACACAGCACATGTCATTACCTTCTGTGCGGATGGTGAAGGGGGAGTCCGCCAGTCTCTTGGCTGAGAACTGCCCCCCCAGAGAGGTCATTAGAAAGCAGAGGCTGAAGAAGCCTATACCCACCACGAATATCCTGCAACACAAGGGAAGGACAGAGGGGGATCGATTAAAGGGGAGTTCATATAAAACCAACATATTTATGTAATATATATAATATATATATATATATATATTCATGTGATGGCAGGTAAATAGATTTTTAGAGTGGTGGGGGAATATATAAAGTTGAGGAGAGAGATAAGAGAGGTAAGATATTTTGAGGCAGACAAAGGAGTGGATTTAGGGCGAGAGATTTGAAAAATCAAAAGAATAATTTAGGCCGGCAATGATGGAAGACAGGTTTTACAGAAAAGAATGAAAAAAAAAAAGAGGAACTGTAAATAGAGATGCAAAGACGAGGGAGAATGTGGCAGCAAGCAAAGGATGAGGGGAGGATAGAAACTTCTTGAAGGTGATGGATAAACAAAGCAATGATCGCATGCAGAAAAGTAAAAACTTGAAGCTAAAAGACACTGGAGACCTTTTAATGTTCTGATATCATTGCTTGGCCCTAAAGCTAACACAAGGGATAAAGTAAGGGAAATCAGATTGTCACCAAGTAGAGGCAAAATGAATGGTATTTCGGAAATATCAGAAGCCACACACAGATAGCCCAAAACATTAGGGTGTTTAAGGTGAATAAGAGTGTAAAGATAGCTAAAATGCCAAGTTAAGTCTCACTTCTCTTTACAACACAAAAGTAGCTCAACAACAACATACAATGAAATTGTTTCTTCACTGTGCGAGTTACTGGCATCTAGAGATATCAAATACAAGTCAGTTCACTGTGTTGTTAATAAAGTTGCCTGCTGGGTGCCAAAGCATCATATTGTGAAAATCCTTCAGGAGTGGAGACTCACATCTATACTGCAGACCTGCCTTTGTAGCATATAAACTTCTGCTGTACTACACTGTGTCGGAGATCTTATATTTGAAAAGCTACCTTTCCTCAGAGGGAGGGAAAAAAAGAGAGGTGTGTGGGTTCTCCCTTGTTAGACAGCCATGAGAGAATCAGATCTTTGACTTAAAAGAGTTGAAAATCCGGTCTTTTGTATCCGTGTAAATCCTGCCCTTGTTAAGCTTCTCTCTTCAGTGTATATGGATCAAAGGTTATCTTATTATGCTGAGACTCTTAAGGGAACCAGAGAGGCAAAGCAGTCTGTGAATCGTAACCACTGGACAAAATACCTGTCAGCCTCCATGACTAACAAGTCCAATACCCCACAAGAGAAGATTCTTATGTAACACAGAATGGCTGACAGTCCGGTACTTACACCACATTTTTTTAGAAGCTAAAACAATTTCCCCAAGATTCATTCATGGACTGAACATAAAGATGGACGATGTGTCTCCACTTTGCAATCTGTTTCCTGTGTCCCAACTTATTGGAATTGCTTGTTTTACCCTTTTAAAGACAAGTGCAATGTAAAAAAAATCTGGCCAAGCCAGCGTGACCAACCCAACCACAAATATTATTTCTAAATCTTTCTCTGAACCAAGGCGAGAGCTTCTCGGGTTGGGTGTCCACACTCTAATCCACTAACATGGAGCATTGGGGTTTATGACCTTTACTGCAGCCAGCCACCAGGGGACAATTAAGATGATTTAGCTTCACATTCTGGGAGCCATCATGTCGACCATCTTTATATGGAGACTATGGTTTCATTAATTATTGGTTTGGCTAAATACAGTATATTTGTTCTAAAATCTCCAGCATATGAGGACTGCATCTCAAGCAGTGGTTGGAATGTAATAAAACAGCAGGAGGAAGAATAACTCCCAGGAGCTTTGTTATGTAATTATCCCAATACACTTCGTAGGTTCAGGCCTGCCCTGCAAAGGTTAACCTTTAAACTTTTAACTTTTGCAGCTGAGGTTGGAAATTTTGATCTTAACTTAACAAATGAATGCATTATTCATAACTATTGCTTTCTCTTCAAAGCCAGACGAGGGCTTGTTTGCTTGAATGTGCGGCCCAATGTGAAATCTGGCAGCACTTCCTGGAATGTTGAGTAGCTCCAGTCACGCAAAGTTCAGAGCAGAACCTCTTAATATTGATGAGGCCGTCAGAAATGAGTTCCTATCAACACCAACGCATGAATGGCCACTTAAAAGAACATTTGCCAGATTGATCTGATGACCCAACAAGATCAAGATGATGTTGAATAATCTGTTAAGTATAGAGCTCTGTGTTTTGGCAGGCTCCCAGTGTGACTTTATATTCCAAGACAGAGCCGATGTGTCTTGCCCTGGATTGTAATACACTCAAATGGCTTCAAGGACAGACAGAGGAATGCAATTTCTTCAAGAGGAAACTTTTTTATCCCCGCACAACACAAAAAAAAATGTTGGTAACGAAGAATCATTATCATCAAGGCTCTTGTCTAATGGGTTGCATCAAGCGTGATAACAATTATCTGATCATTCCCAAAGGTAAAGCAGTTGTACAGTCATTACAGTTAAACTGGTCATTTATCTTCTGAACCTTCTGTAAGCAAAGTGATCAGACTCCACTTTGAGCGGGAATTGCATCTGATGAATTACAGTGCTGATTACACTGGGAACAAGACAAAGAGAGTTCTCAATTATGATTATCGTCTTGATTTGGTGCTGGTGGAGGCAGATTATTAGACACTTTAATGTGATGATCACTGTGATCATCAGGATTTCAGCAAGTCAACAGCACTTCCTGCATTTCTTTATTAATATTTACCTCCATCAACGAGATTATATTCTCACTCCTGTCAGCTGGGATGTTTTTGGTTGGTTTGTTTCATTGTCAACAGGATTACACAAAATCTACTAAACAGATTTCCACAAAACTTGGTAAAAAGATGAGACAGGGACCAAGAAAGAACCCATTCAATGTTGACACAGATACAGATCTTGAAAAAACAGGCATATTTAGGAAACTGATGCCTATGAGTGTGTGCCATTTGGTGAATATTGATTGGATTTAAGGGGACTGTTGGGACGTGGTGGAGGCATGTGCTCTCTGGAGTGCCATAACTTTACAATGAAAACACAAGAAAACCATAGTTACACTTAATTCACAACAGTCTCAGCATCACTCTGTTTTTCTCATACAGCAGAACAGTATCCCTCCTGGGATGCTTTCCTATTATGAAATAATGAAATATTACCCCCATCTGTTCAAGGCATATTGAGGAATGAAATGAATAGCTCAATCATTGTCAAAGGACCACAGAGCAGCGACACAGTAACTGATGTGAATCCAATCCCATACAATCATTATGCTTAAAGGATTATTAGTCATAAACATGAAGCCATGGGAGAGATAATTATACCTGCATGGATTATGCACTTACTATACAACTATATGGTCAGCAAGCCAAGAAAGTGGAAGCTGACAGAACAATACATTTCAAAAGAACCATTACTTGTTTTTCACTCTCACACTTGGTGCCTTGTATGATCACGAAAAGAAAAAATGAAGAGGCCCAGTAACAAATTTGATAAAGGGGCTGCAAAAGGGCATGAAGCAAAAAGGGCTGATTTTAGTGATCACCAGTCTGTGATTCAAGTATGTTTGCAGGACAGAGGAACAGTAGTGGTGGGGGGAAATGAAAGTAAAAGTGAGTGTCAGCTCATGCGGGTGTGTGGAAACTGGTCTGATGCTGGCCTAAGGCGATCGTTTCCCCTCTTATCATTTAGCCGTTTTACAAAGTGGCGTTAGGTGGGCGATATGAGAGGATTAGGCCCCGGTCCTGCCTGACGAGTCTTTAATTAACAGGCTTAAAATAAATGCTCTGCTCCCTATAATTGGATCAGAAGGAGAGATCTGCTATCAGCTAATTGGCTTCCTCACACATGCCTCTAGGTAGATGATATAAAAGCAAGGAGTTCTGCTAGGCGTGGAGGAGCCACGGTGTAGGTGTTACTTGTGGTGTTTTCCAAGAAACTTTTCTTAGAAACTCAAATAGTCAAAAAGTCTGGGAGAAATTTGGGAATTTAAGGTGACAGCACATAGCCTTCATTTTGGGGTGATGGTGATTTTTATATTCCATATTCACTGCAGCATTTCTACTATTTCTGTCCTGGTGCTTTAGTGATCTAAAATTCATATTCACAATAGGCCTGTGCAACAAACCAGTCTCAATAATTATTGTTATATAATTTGCTTCAATAGAAATAAAACAGAAGTTCAATCAATATCTATCTTTCTATTGTGAAACCGTAGTGAGAGATCCACAATTGACTGATTTCTTCAACAAGGAGGAGCAACAATCAGTCTTTAATCTCGAAAGAAATAGTTACTGACATGTATTCACAAAATTATGGACAATGGAATGAACATTTTTAGCGTGATGACATTTTTCACTATATCACCCAGTTGAAATTTTTTCAACCTTTGCCAGGAAACTTAATTTCTCCCCAGGTTTTATTCTTTTTTCTTGACAAAACTATTTAATAAAGGCAAAATGTAATGACAGCACACCTACCATTCACGGTCAAATAATGGAGCGCCGAGCTCAGGGCAGCAGATCTGGTTTCATTCTAAATGAAAATTACTTGTAGTGAGCTCTCCAGGTCTGTCTGCACTGCCAAGGCTAGTGCAGCTTTGTCACAGAGCTGCTCAATTAAATGTGAATGTATAAATGTCTACCGAGCAGATAGCAGCTAAATTCAGTTCAGCACGAATGTAACCATCCCTGACACACATTTTATTAATTATTATTATTATAGTTTTTCACATGTTATCAAGGATGGCTGCTGCACCGTCACTCCACCACTGAGGGGAAATTGTTTTGAAAATCCAAAACAGTATTTGCAAAATGGAAAATGGGTTTGTACCAGCAGTGCCGATTTTAATCTCCAACTCTCGTTATTCAGAAAAAATGATTTATTGAATGATTTCAAATGATGTCATTATTAGAGTACCCATCAAATAAGATACCATGAAGCTCAATGGCACAGCATGGCCCAATGGACTGTGGAGGAATCAGCTGTTTAAGCAGTTAATATGTGTTTCCCTTCTCTACACCATCACAAACAAAGCCACACACAGTGATAATGGAGCTATCCATGCAGTGAGAAACTAAGTTAGAGCTCGGCTGACTGGTGCCACAGCATAATTTATATTTACAAGTCCTCCTTCATGATTTATCACCGTGGGTTGTCCTTTTATCTTTTAATGTGTGAATCTAAATCTAAGTCATCTGCTGGAGATCAACATCTGACGTGTGTTTGGGTGAGTGCTGAGAAACACACACACACGTTTGTGCAGCTATAGGGCATATAGGGCTTATACAGTACTAGAAAAAAGGCCCTAAAGAAAATTTAAAAAGGGTTGGAAATCAAAATCCTAAACGGTTAGTACCTACAGGACCAAATCACAACAAAGATTTTGGTGCCTGAGCATTGTAATGAAGTTTCCCTGCCTACAGGCAACATGAACATCACCACATGTGTCTAGTTGATATTATTTAAATCTGGTGGCGACACACTGTCAACATGGCTCTTGCAACACATAACGTTGGCCCACAGTTAGCTCGTCGCTTGGTCACACATGCAAATATATCAGTGGCGAACCTTTTGCTTCCGGTTCACTTCCAATCTGTGGAGTCAGGAGGCGACTCCTGTCGGACAGCAAATGGCTGGGTGGCTTCACGTGGAGTTCCAGTTTGGTGACCTTTGACTGGTAATATTCGCTTTGCATTCACGTATGTTTGACCGTGCTCTTAAGCTAAATATAAAGTGTGCTTTTATTCCAAGTGAAAGGATTCAAACACTGGAACATGCAGCAAATGTTTGAAAACAACTGTGTGTAAAGGGAGGAGCGTGACATAATGAAGCACTTAGCGACGCACAGATGTATTTGAAAGCAAACGGATGCTCCGTGTTTGACTTCTTCCGTGACCCCATGCTAAGCACACCAGCCGACACTGTGATGGGGAGACTATTGATGACAAGTTTCAAGAACTGAAACTGTAATTTTATGTTAAATTATTGTAATTGGGTGAGGCTTTGTTTATTTTGTGATTTGTAATTGTGACTTTGGCAAGAAAAAATCGGTTCTGCATCTGTTCTGAATCCGTTTAGGCACCAGTACGGTTTTATAAGTATCTATTCAGCACCGGTAAAAGAGATATCCAAACGATATTCAACCCTACACAACAATGAGTACACACACACACACACACACACACACACACACACACACGCGCACACACGCACACACGCACACACGCACACACTGCCTTACAGCTTAGTGTGGTCATTTCTTAACTGGTGTTTCTGTTCAGCTTTGGGCCATCTATGTGATAACGTATATATTTATATATTATGAGGGACAAAAGATTAATATGGCAAATTATCTGACTCATGAGACACAATTATTGATAAATATTGATATTGAGATTTATTGATATTTAGCTTTATATATAGAGTTTGGACTGTTTATGAATGTTTTACATTAGAATGAATGCACATGTGGACAGTGACAAGTTAGTGTTTGTTAAAGACTAAAGAGGCACTAAGATGAGATGATTCTTTTCTTTGTGTATTGTCTCATCTCAGTTTGTGTCAAACTCTGTTAAACTGACACCATAATACAGTGAATAAATACACAAATCCTGCACTTTACCTCTTCAGGGGCATTTTGTGTTCATGTATCATGAAGTATATGATCGTTTAGAATATAAATCGTTTATCGCAGAATCAATATATTGTGATACTATCCTCATCGTGGAGCATGTATTGCATTTTAGTGATTCCACCCCTGATGTATTTGAGGCTGAGAGGAGAGCATGGTGGGAAATGTGTTTGAATCTCACCTGAACGGCTTGAACGTCACTAGACATCTTCTGACCATTATTTTGCCGTCGGTGCAGCCAGGAATCATTTCCCAAAACCTTGGACCCCTGACATCGTCGTTGACCTCCCGACCTGCAACTTCAGGTGACCAAACATGTTCTATCCTTCTTCTATGTGCGTCCCATCCAGCGGCGCGCAGCGGCGGGTCGAGTCGGTTGTTTCAGACCGAACAGGCGCCCACGGGTGCTCCTTCACGCCTCCGGGAGAAATGGTGGGAAGTTTAATTCAGCAAGTCTCCTCTCCTTTGTGTGGAAATGTCGCTCACTGTGTTATTCCCCTGGTTCCGGGCGAACACATCGCTGCAGCTCGTGTCATGGAGTCGTATCCCGCGCGAGGTGTGCGCACAGGGAGATGGCGTCACGATGTGAATACAAGTGAGAGTGGTGGAAAAGTCTTCCTCCGTCCTGTGTGTGTGGAGCGGACACAGCAGCTGGATCCACGGACGTGTCAACTTCACGGTGGAGCCGGCGAGAGTGAGTCCACTCATCCGTGGGTCCCCGTCACTTCTCCAGAGGTGAAGTGGACACAGTCGAGTCTTCCACTTCCTGTCTGCCCCTTCACAGTAATGGCTTCGTCTCTATTACTGGCAGAAATCCTTTCAAACCGTGTGGGCTGTATTAAAGTCCCCAGATCTGTGTAATAATAACAGTAACAACAATCATGACAATAATAATAATAATAATAATAATCTTCATCATCATCTGACGTTTTTCTTGCCCTCTGGTCTCTTGAAAGGCGCTTTATAAATTCAAGTTATCATCCTCATCATCATCCTCATCATCATCATAGAGATGATATGATCCAATCAATTTTTAAACTGTTCAAACGTTAAAATCTTTGTAGTGTGTATTCAATGTCTTGCATGTGAAATAATTAATATATCATTTCCCTTAAAGCAAATCATTTTAAGTGTTGCACTTAAGTCACAAGTGACAAACGTGAACATTTAACAAGGTTGCAATTATTTTTATCATTTTGTCTTTGATCTGAAAGGTATTATCCAAATTATTATTATTATTATTATGTATTTATTTTCATGTACTTCTGATCTTACTGATTGGTTGTCCTCTTTTCTAATTTGTAATATTTTTTTTCTTTAATTATTTCCTATTTTGACTTTTTTTTTTTTTTCCTTTTAAACTTGCTATAGAGATAGAAAACGTTTATTTTTATTGTTGTTGTTTTCCAAAATCTAGTAGAATAGGTTTCCAAAATTTGAAGTCCACAATGTGCTGGTCTAGTGACATATCTTGCCTATTCTGTTTTGTCATTACTGTGGGAGGAAAATCTACAAAGCATGTCTAAATGAGTTCATTGGTTTAACGAGAAAAGGTTTTGTAATCAGTATTAATCACAGGGCCTATAGCCTGCAGCACTGAAACCACTGCTGAGTGCGAGCATTGTGTTCTTTTACTTGGGAGGCAGATTCCCATCATTTCCTACGCAGCTGTATCTTCCTCTGGCGGACTTGATTCTGGTCTACAATAACAGAAAGATGGTGCGAAGCCTCTGCAGCCTCAGTGGCCTCTGCACGGCGCCATCGGTAGCTTTTTGAGTTCACTGTTGTGACACCAAAAGCACTCAGAACCTCAACTTCCATTGTCCCCACCTCAGAACTATGAATAAAACAATAACCAGTTTACTATGACCTACTTTTCCTCCACGCAGCCATTCGAAAGGAACATTATTTATCGTACCCTGAACCATAGCACCATTGGTGGTGGGCTACACAGTCATTAGAAAACTGGTAATTATTTATTTATTATTTTAATCTGAATCAAATGGGTGTGGAAAAGTGTTCCATAGACAGAGTAGATTTCTCAATCCACACAGTTCCACCTGAAGACTATAAACCTACTATAAAATGATTATCAGATTATCTGTTTCTTTTTGCTCATGAGGATCTATACTGTGATTATTTGTTATTATGTGATTGACAGTGTTGAGCATCGCAACAAAGCAGTTCAGCACCACGGACAGCGAACGTGAGCAGGATGCAACAGCGGCCCCCAGCGGCCGGCAATGATACTGCAGTCGTTAGAGTACTAGAATCACAGCAACAGCAGTAGTGATGGTTGTAATCTTAGTAGTATTAACACTGTGTAGTATATAACCTTAAAATAATACAGGGAAGATTTCAGCACTGATTATTGTGGTGCAACAATAAATAAATATAATTTAACCATAACATACAATTAATGACACTATAAAACCGAGCTGCGGCTCTGGATAACCTTATTCGCTGAGTTAAATGATCAGCAGTCAGTTTTAGTTGTGGCACAGATTATACAATCTTTGTGGCCAGCAGAGCGTTGGGGCAGAACTGGAGGCAGAAGAGGGAGTTCCACAGGGAACCAAACCGAAGATGACAGTGAAATCTCAAACTGCCTTCATGCATCACTTACCCCTGGTACATGTGGATGTGACTGACAGCCATGACGCCCGTGCCGGCTGTCCCTCTCCACGGGTTGTGTGAACAGTTCTGCACAGTGGTACAAATCAGCAAACTCTGAAAAGCATTCTGCCAGAGGCTGAGAATACCCACAGGCAGGATACTTTACCTTACTTCAGACCCTTACAAAGCAAATATAGATGTTACTACCCAGCTTCCAATTCTAAGGACTCATTTAAAAAATGTTACACTGTCTGCAGGATAGATGCATTTTTGTAAACGACAAGAGCTACCCACTGCAGCAGTGAAGTGTAGCCTATTATTTCAATTCTTCAGCGGAAGAGGTATTAGGTCCAGTTCTGCAGCTCTAGACTGGAGGAAGTGTCACAGGGCCTGTCACAGCTATAATATTTAGCTTTTTTGTTTTGCTGGTCTTGTCCTCTTTCCCCTGAGCTGGTTAAGTTCCCTCTGCAGTGCTTGTCACTATTCCTAATGAGCTGTCTACCTTCAAACGGCATCTAGCCCGAGGCTGAGCTAACCACAACCTGTAAATTCACCACAGGCACAGATGAAGAAGGCGATCTGTAAGAAAAAACCAAAGGCAGCCCTGATGTTCACTGCGATTATGTCATCATCTTTTGTGCCACACATTTGGTGCTGTTTGACTTTCTTTTTGTGCTGCTTTGTTCTTTGTCTTCTTCTTCTTCTTCTTCTTTATAAGTAACTCTCCCATCTGGCTTATTGGCAACCTCAGAAAATGATAGATACCCTATTGCTGTGATGATTATAAAGACAGTTGGAGGGCAGGGGGGTTGGATCATGGAAGTAATGTTCAATTTATCAATTTATGTGTTATTTTTTCATTATACAGCAGAATACTGCAGAAGCTGTTTCAGATATGACCAAAAACTAGCACAACAGTTTCCTGCAGGGCCTTACACCTACGAGCGAAGTCTTTGTAACTAAACGAATCAAATGTATGTGGATTTGTATATTTTTTTATGTGGATCTGTCAGCTAATCAATATATGGTCAATATCTTTTGCTGCCTAAAATGCATTAACGCTCTGTTTCTGGGATAATCCAACACGGCATGTATAATGAGCACTCTTTCCTTGCAAGATGATAATCAATGATAATATGATAATCATATTTCCCTCTGATGTTGCATTTAGCCTATGGAAAAGTGAAAAAACTAAAATATGATAAGTTAAATGGAGGTATTATTTGAAGGATTATTATTATTTGAAAGATAAACTAATTTCAACATTGAGCAGTATACAAATAAGACAGCACTGTGGTATAAAAGAGCCTGAAGACCATCACATATAAGACAAACACAAACAGAGAGACACTGAGCGATGTGAAATATGGATCAAGGGGAAGTGTTTCTTACATATGGAATGTTTAACACATTTTTCTTCCAGGATGGATGACAAAACTAGAAAAGGAGCATAATCTATCTTTCAATGGCAGGCACAAAGAGAGGAGAGCATACAGGCACATTTGTTTTAAGTGTTACACGAGAAGTTATTTTATCTAGTCCAAAAAGTTGTTATCAGATTTCAGTCACAACAAACTCTCTCACCAACAGAGAGAAATGACTTTGAGAAAAACAGCACTGGGACATATACTAGCCTCAGATAGATGCATGGTGGGAGTTAGTCATTGGTTGTGTGTGTGCAATTTATCACCAAGATAATTTTGCAGGTATTATAAT